CCATCATTTGGTGTTCTATATCACTAATTCTCTCTTCTGCCTCATTTATCCTAGCAGTTAGAGCCTCCATTTTGGATTGCGCCTCATTAATAGCCTTTTTGATTTTGACTTGGTTAGATTTTAGTTCTTTTATTTCTCCAGAAAGGGTTTTTCTATTATCTTCCATGCTTTTTTCACGCCCAGCTAGTATCTTTAAAATTGTCATTCTGAACTCTAGTTCCAACATCACAACCCCAGAAAAATATACACTAAACAAATCAGAAGACACCTGAAACTGGGGGAAAAGAAAGGGAAAGAAAGAAAAAAGAACAAGATGAAGATAAAAAACAAAACAAAACAGAATATGATCATATATGATTAGGCTGGTGCATAGATCAATGCCACACACTAGATTTGGGGCATATTTTGGTCTGTTAGAAGAAAGTGCCTCCCAAAATTTTAATGAAAGAAAAGCTTATATATGTACAAAAATAAAGGTTAATACGATGAAGGGATGGAATATGACTGTAAAGATGAAAATTATAAAAGATTTTATAAAAGGAATTGATAAGATAGTTGGTTGAAAAAATAAAGAAGAGGATTTAAAAAAAAAAGAAGAGAATGTGATCAGGCAGGAGACTAGAACAAAGCCATACACTAGAGATTTAGGGTATATTTTGGTCTGTTAGAAATAACTGTATCCCAAAATTTTAAAGAGAGAACAACTTATATATATATACCTAAAATAAGGTTAACTACTATGAAGGGATAGAATATGACTCTAAAAATGAAAAATAAAAAAGATTTTTTTAAAAAAGGGATTGACGTTGGTTGACAAAGGGAAAAAGAAAAATTCAAAAAAAGTAAATTTAAAAAATTAAGTTTGAAAGAGTAAAGAATCATGGGAAAAAAGCCATGAATTCTATGTGCAGTATTCCTTAGCTCTGGAGTTCTGCCGTTCTCATTGATCAGTAAACTTGGTCTTGGCTGACTCTTCTTGCTGATCTTCTGGGGGTGGAGCTTGTTGGCAGTGGTTCTTAAATGTCTTTGCTGGAGGCGGAATTGCCCCGCCCTTGTTGGGGGCCAGGCTATGTAATCTGCTCGGGTTTGCTCTCGGGAGCTTTTGTTCCCTGCAGGCTTCCTATACAGAGTGAAAATGGCAGCCTCCTAATCTCCGCCCCGGGAGAGCCAAGCGTTTGGGGCCCTACTCCTCAGTGCACCCCCAGAGAAAAGTAGTTAGTCACTCCCATCTCCCCGGTCTCCGGCCGCACTCCCTGCTCACCCGGCCTGTGACCGAGCATTTCTGTCTCTGGCACATGACCCCGTGTGGTGTCTCCAAACCCAGCAGATCCCTGTGGTGCGCACCCGCACCGCTCCTCCAGGGGTAGGAAGGGGAGTCTCCCCGGATCTGCTGCTTGTTGGGTCCCTGCTGGAAGAGCAGTGGCCCAACTGTGCCACGGATCACGGTTTATGGCAACTCCGAGCTGAAAGCCCACTCCTCGGCTCCGTCTCTGCAGCCGGCTTCCCCGCTCTGATACCTGGGAGCTCTGCTGCACTCAGGCACCTCGGTCTTTCTGTGACCCCGAGGGTCCTGAGACCACACTGTCCCAGAGAGGGTTCCACCCCCCGCTTAGCTACTGGAGCGACATCCCTCAGCAGAGCCGACTTCTAAAATTTCCGATTTTGTGCTCTGCGGCTCTATCACTTGCCAGAAGCGGCCGACGGAGGCCCCCTCCCCCACCGTCTATCCTCTCGAATATCGCTTCACTTCTCCGCACATCCTACCTTCCAGAAAGTGGTCGCTTTTCTGTTCAGGGAGTTGCTGCTATTCTTTTCTTTGATCTCCTATTGAGTTTGTAGGTGTTCAGAATGGTTTGATCCCTATGTAGCTGAATTCCTGGGACCAGACCAAATTTAGGTCTTCTACTCCTCCGCCATCTTGCTCCTCCCCCCTCCCACTGTTTATAACCTATTGTAATCCTTCAAGGCCCAGCTCAAATGTTATCTCTTTTACAAGATCTTCTTCAGCCCCTCCAGACAGAATTAGCACTGTCCTCCTCATAGCACTTATTTGCATGATTCTACTTGTATCATAATAATTGATATTTTTCTCCTGCTGCACTAGTATGTTACATCTCAAAGCTTCTCCCTACCACTTACCCACGCATAGAAGAGAGGCCCACAGTTGGCTACTTGCCTATTTGTGAGGCCTCCCTGTCAATCCTGATTTATTCCCAGTTTTCTGCAGTTTCTGAAGCTGGTCTATATGTTTTCCTGTGGAAATGGATAGCTGGTTAAAGAAAGAGAATGATAACTAAACTCTTGTTACCTGACCGGAGGTATAAACTCTCTCTTCAGAAAGCGTGGACTCTGGAAACAGACTTTAGAGTGTGAAAACTGGCTCTACCACATTAGTTTTGTGACACTGAGCTTGTCTCAGTGCCTTAGATTCCTTATCTGTAAAATGGGACTAGTAAGAGTTCACTAATTTATAGAGCCGTTTTGAAGATAATGATGAGATAATCCTTGTGAAGCATTTAGAACAGGGCCTGGCACAGATAAAGTGCTCAAATAATGGTATCTCTTACCATTATCATCATTGTCATTATTATCATTACCATTTTCTCATTTTGTCAATAATAAGTCAGCATATTCCAGAACCTAGAAATAGTTTCCCTTGGCATAGGGTCTAGTTCAGAGTCCCCATTGCTGCTATCATTCCATCCCCTATTTCCTTGCGTCAGGAAATGGTTCTTCCCCATGTGGAAGGTAGTGGCCTCTTTGAGATTGTGTATGTGGATCATCTTTATGAGATTGGACCTCCCTAAATGTATTGAGATGATAACAATGCTGTTATGGCCTGAAGGCACAGCCAACCCCTGTGGTGTCTTCTAAAGTAGAGCAGGGATAAAATTTCCTAGGGTCTTTCTACTAGAAGAAAGTATTCAAATAGAAACATGTAACTGAGATGTTGGGCCTAAAGCATGTGAGAGAAGAAATTCATGTCACTGTTCACTTCATTGTTCTGAAAGGGTAAATGTGCTTAAGGTTACTCCTAAATGCTAGAGGTTTACAGGTGGCCTCTGCCATAAGCATGTCCTGGAAGCACGTGATCTAGTTATGTGGCTCCTTTGTGCTTATGCCCCTACTATTATTTGTGAGCCCTTGGTAAATTTTTGTTTGAATGTTCTAGTCTTGTGGCAATTGTGGTAGGGTTAATAAAAGCAGGGCTCTATACCTACCTTGCTACAGAGTAAGGAAACTATAGAGGGAATCCTTTTGGCCCTGATCCCTATAATGGTGGCAGCACTGATTGGTGACAGGTTCTCAAGGAGAAGAAAGTTCTCTGGGGAAAAAAGTCTTTGCAGCAAAACTTAGCCCTTCCTTCCCACATAAAAACTCTTACCTCACTGCCCTCTTAGAGCATAATAGCATAAGTAATAACTGACAATTACAGAGTGTTTATTATGTCTGAGGCACTGAAATAAGTATACCATCTCATGTAACCCTCACTACAACCTCATGAAGTAGGTACTATTATTATTCCCATTTTATTGAGGAGAAAACTTGAGGTCTAGAGAGATTATGAATTTGCTCAAGGGCCTACAGTTGATAAGAAGCAGAACTGAGATTCAGACCTGGCTATCTGACTCCAAAGCCTGCATTTCTTTTAACATTTTACTATGGAGAGTTTAAAACATAAACCAAAGTTAAAAAAAAAACAACAAAAAAATAAACAGTATCATGTACTCCCCATGTGCCTATCACCCAGCTTCAACATTTACCACCCTTTATGTCCGTTCTTGTTTCATCTGTACCCCTACCCACATCCCCAACCAAGACACATGTATGTCATTTCATCCATAAATGTTTCAGTATACATCTCTAAAAGATAAGGACTTTAAAGCCAAAATTACAATACCATAATCATACCTGAAAGAAAACAAAACAAACAGTAATTCCTTAAGATCACTATCTAGTCAATGTTTAAATTCTCCATCATTTTTTTAAAAATCAGGATTCAACAAGATATATGTATTACAACTGCTCAACATGTTTCTCAAGTCTCATTTGGCCAAACAGAACCTCTATTCTTAACCACTACACTCTGATCTAGGTTTTCTATTATGAAGAAAGGTGACAGTTTCCTTACAGCAGGAGTTTTCAATCAAGGATGAACAGCTTTAAGGGACTCTATTAATCTCTTAAAATTCGTTTTTAAAATTTTTCATGTATTTGTGTGGGTTAATTTGTCTAGGGAGAGTATCCTTGGCTCTCCTAAGAGTCTCAAAGCTTTAAGTAAGACTCAGAACAACTGAAAAGTAGGTACTGTTGTCACAGAAAATTGTGGACCACAAAAGCTAAGGGAAGAACATGGCTAGTTGGAGGTTTCTTTATGAGGATGGAGAATGAAGTTTAATTCTGTTAAATTTATTAACTTTAAATTTGAGAGATTTTAACAAATTACTTTTGAGAGAAATAGAAATCGTTAAGGATTAACTGGTGTCTCTTTAAAAAGAAGAGAATTATAATTGGGGACTCTTAAGTTCCTTTTAAATTACATATCCCTTTTAATAAAGCATCTTGGTATATTATGGTTTTACTAAATTGTGGTGGTAGAAATCAAACTCCCATCTTGAACTGAATTCCCTATTTTATGGGATCTGTGACTCCACATGAATTGGGCTAGATAGAGACTGATTTTGTGAGATATCAGTGATTTGTTCCACAATAATAGCTCCATTGACAATGTGTAAAATTTTTCAATATTATGTGTGCATGTATAAAAATGAAATGGTAATGAAGTTAGCTTTAGTCTTCCCTCTTTGCACCACTTTTTCCTAGATGAAATCCAACATCAAACACCCAATGGTATTATCGCCAGCAGTATGGAACCCCCCAAGCTACCACAATACCCCAAACTGCCTATTCAGAGGAGTGGAGAAGCTGACACTGGGAGGAAGTCTCCAAGTAGCAGGCCTGTTTCAGATGGCAAGTTGGAGTCCTGTCCTGAAGTGGATGTGGGGAAGTTGGTGTCTAGGCTGCAGGATGGAGGGACCAAGGCCATACCAAAGGCCACCAATGGACCTGTGCCAGGCTCTGGGCCCACCAAAGCCCCCTCTTTCCACATAAAGAGACCAGCTCCTCGACCCCTGGCTCACCACAAGGAAGGTAAGTGCTTGGGAATCCCACTGGAATCAGAATTGAAACCAACTATTTTGCACCCTAAGATCTTTCTGAGGTTGGAGATATTTAAGTAGGGATTTGTTTCCAGTTTACTACCACCAATATTGGAATGGTGGGTAAGAACATAAAAGCCATTCACAATAATCACTAGAGTATAAACTTAATGAGGGTGGGGATTTGGGGCCTGTTTTATTTACCTCTATATCCCAAGTGCTTAGAACAATGCTTGACTGTCACAAGGTAAGCACTCATTGTAGAATAAATTAATAATAATGATGTTTTTATCAATATTATTATTGCTGCTGTTGCCGTTAAGTATCTGCTGTGTCCCTGGCACTGTACTAGGTACTGACAAATTATTTCCGATCCTCACAACCTTACTGTGAAGAATGTATTACTGTTTTTTTTTTCTACTAGAAAGCTGGGGATCCTAGAGCTAAGTGACTTGCCAAAGGTTCACAGTTACTCTCTAGCAGAGCTGGGATCTCAATCTTATCAAGTCTGGCAGGTAACAAAGCCTGTGTTATTTCCAATAAGGCAGAACTATCACTTTTCCTTTGTATAAGAAGCTTTGAAATTGGTGAACTGATGGTTTCTCATTCTCACTTTTCAGATTAGCCAAGATAGGGACAAAGGGACACAACTTCTGCAAAACTCTGGACTTTTTAAATTACAAATTCAAGATGTGGCTTACTTTGGTAAATTTAATTGGAGACTCATGTTTGGAGGTTGGGGCTAATCCAGAGAGTATCTGGAGGGCAGTACATAATTCTATGACGATAATATGATATAATGGACAGAATATGGACTTTGATATCAGAAAGGCTGAGACCCAAATTGTGGCTCTTTTACTTTCTAGCTAGATGCCCTTCTAAAAATGTGCCTTGTTTTTTATCCTGTCCTGTTCCAGAAAGAATTTAAGGCTTTCACAATATAGAAAATACAGGAACTTAAAAATAGTAAGAATAATTTATTCAACAAGTGTTTATTGAGTACTTGTTGTGTGCCTGGCCCCATCCTAGGCATTAAGGACATAAGAATGAATAAGACATACAAGGTCCCTACTCTCTTGAGGCTTATATCAGGGCTTAGAGAACTATGGCCTTAACTGAAAAATATCAAAAGAAAAATAATATGTCATGACTCATGAAAATTATATGAAATTAAAATTTCTGTACCCATCAACAGAAACACAACACCTCATTTACATATTGTCTAAAGCTACTTTCACACTAAAACAGCAGAATTAAGTAGTAGCAACAGAGATCTTATGGCCTACAAGTCCTAAAATATTAGCTGTCTGATACTTTACAGAAACTGCTTGCTGACTTCTGCCTTAGATTCTAGAGAGTACACGTGAGAAAAAATGAAGCCAAGAGAGGGAAAAAAGGTAGGAGAGTAGGGATATGGAAAGAATGGAGTTAGTACACAAAATGTTTGCTATGAAGCCTTACACACTTGCTGGAACAGTGTCACAGATTTGGCTCCAAACTTTCCAGAGAAAATGAAAAGCGAAAGAACTTAATAGTCATGTAAATCCATGCTCTTAAGGTAACAACAAGCAAGTTGTTCAAAAAAGCACAACTCATCCATTTTTGAAGCCAGAGAATATTTCTAAGAAGCATTTTCTCTCAAGGATTGTTGCATATAAAAACCTCAATATGGGCTGATTGCATTGTCTCAGAGCACAATTCAGTAAAAGCTATTCTATGGGAGTCTGATAAGATTTCCACTAAGTAACTGACTCTGTGAATTCTTTGGCTTGACCCAGTGATGCATTTGTCTGTATGATTAATAGTTAAGTTATTTAAGATCTGCACACCTTGGTTTCTATATCTATAAATAGGAGAAACAGCTCATCCCACAGAATTATTGCTAAGGTTAAAAAAAATAATAAAATATCTGCCATGTAATCAGTATTCAAAATATGTTATTAATTCCCTTTCTCTGCCCCTCCCCTTCCTAAGATTTGCCTATTCAAGGAAATAGCCAATTAAGACCAGACTTCTATGTGGACACAACTTCAATTTATAAGTCATGTGTTGACCTTCACATCAATCTGTTAGAGTTGGGTAACTCAAGTTATATTCATCACAGTGAAGTTTGTCTTGCCTGCTGCCAAGTCTTGAGGTCAGCCAGATCCTGTAAGTTCAGCACACACAGTAACTTAGCCCTCCCTAACCATCATCTACTGCAAAGTTAAATTCCAGAGGCATTCCCCCTTCCCCTTCCTCCACAGTCCTGCTCCAGACTTCTGGCAGCAACTGACAGTTTCAGTCAATGAAAGTACTGATCTTGCTGTCAAGTATCAGCCAACCTATCTAAGTTTGGGCCACATCATTGCCTGCTTTTGCTTTCTATCTTAAATCAGTCAGCAACAGGTTAGGGTGATGCAGCTTTTTTCAAAGCCCTGTGCCTCCAGCCTTAGCCACAGAAATCAGAACTGAGGTAGTGGTTCTGGCCTTGGTGGAAAATCAGCTAAACTTCTGCCTCTTTGCTGTTTTTTTTTTTTTCAAGTTTTTATTTAAATTCCAGTTAGTTAACATACAGTGTAACATTCATTTTAGGAGTAGCATTTAGTGATTCATCACTTAAATATAACACCCAGTGCTCATCACAAGTGCCCTCCGTAATATCCATCACCCATTTAGCCCATCCCCCCACACACCTGCCCTGCAGCAACCCTCAATTTGTCCTCTATAGTTAAGAGTCTGATTTATGGTTTGCCTCTCTCTTTGTTTCCCTGTATGTTCATCTGTTTTGTTTCTTAAATTCCACATAATGAGTGAAGTCATATGGTACTTGTCTTTGACTGACTGACTTATTTCGGTTAGCATAATACACTCTAGCTCCATCCACATTATTGAAATGGCAGGATTTCATTTTTTTGATAGCTGAGTAATATTCCATTGTGTATATATACCATGACTTCTTGATCCATTCGTCAATCAATGGACATTCAGGCTCTTTCCATAATTTGGCTACTGTTTATAATGCTGCTATAACCATCAAAATTCTAGAGGAAAACACAGGCAGAAACCTCTTTGACATTAGCCGTAGCAACTTCTTACTTACTGTGCCACTCTCCGGTCTCCCATCTCCATCCCTTGTATCAATCCAACATTTGAGTGGACTTGATATTCTTTACATTTTTCCTTAGCAATTAAAAATAGCACACACAAGGTGCATGTTAAATTGCATTGTTCCATGGCAGTCAACTTACAATAAAAATCAGTATTGTTTGCTGATATAATTTAGTCAAGGACTCTTTTTTTTCCAGACATAGAACTAGATGCTTTCTCTTTTTCTATTGTATTCTATTGTGATAGACCTACGAGATAGGTTTTTCCCCTCATTTCACGTTTATTTCCCCATTAAGGAAAAACTGAGGCTCAGAGAAGTGAAACAACTTCCCAGAGTCACCCACGTTGTAAGATATGGAGACAGAGCTTGAACCTTGGCTTCTTTTGAGTATCACATTTTTATTTCTTAAACAGCTTTAGCTACTTTCTCCTTTCTATTTTCTAAAACACATTAGCTTTTAGGAGAGCAAAATTATACAAGCCAATATCCTGCCCTCCTTTGACAGCACTGCTTGCTTCTAAGCAGGCCTGGCTTTGGAGAGGGCTTTTGTGTAGTTTCTACAAAGGGACTTAGGATGTTCCTTTTGAGAGTAGGGTGGGGAAGAGATCTACTTACATGCATTTGTTCATTTATTCGGGCATAGTGCTATGCAGTGGGAGAGAAAAAGATGAAAGGCCATACATGGTCCCTGCCCTCCAGATGTTCATGGTGAGGCTGGCATGTAAGCAACCAGTCCCAGTCCAGTATGACCCATGTTCTGATGGGGGTGAGAATAAATTCCTGTTGGAGCATGGGGCAAGGAGCCCTTCACTCTGCCTTGGGTTCTGAGATAAAAGTGAAGGATATATCCACACTGGAAACCTATAATACATGTGTTTAGGATCCCTTCTTAACTCTTTCCTCTGTCTTGACCAGAGAGAAAAGACTACATTCTGATGGTGTGTTCTAGGGTTTGGAGAAAGAGTGCTTGGAAGGCCTTGCTCAGCTACAGGGCCATCAATTCTCCACTGGATTAACTATTGCAGTGAGTAGCATTTGCATCTGCTCCAGAAGCATTAGAAACAGACCTGTCTTTGAAATAATTGGCTGTGCTGGCCTTTATCCACATTTGCTTGTTTGGATTCATTATGCTTTAGTAATCTACTGTGTTTGGTTTTCATTCTCTGCCTTTCCTGGAGCCTAACTCCCAAGTGATCCAAAAGAGTAATTAGTGGCTACAGGAGAAGAGAGGCTTTCAGGTGAGCATGGCAGAATTTCATAGAAAGTAAGAGATGATTCTAGAAAACTGGGGGAATGTACAAGGAGAAAGAACCTCCCCTTATCGTGCTTTCAGATTTGGTGTAGATGGATATAAGAAAAGGTGGGAGAAAGTTGCTTAAGGTTGAAGACTGATAGCCATGAGGTACTAAGAAATCAACAAGTGCTAAGATTGGTTATGGTCATTTTATAGAGAATGGGGAGGGAGAGAAGAGGTTGGGCTGGAGAGGGAGGTAAAATTTGTAGTAAAAGTCAGGTGTGGACCAAAGTTAAAAAGAAATTAAGAGGAAGTACAGTTTGGTAGAAAGATCATAGGCTCAGAAGGCTTAGTGAAGTCTCAGATGTGACAAGCTTCAGTCTCCCAGATAGGATTTTGAATCCTAGCTCTGCCTCAGAGCTGTGGGACCTTTGGCAAGCCACAACCTCTCTGAGTCTTAGTTTTCTTATTTGTAAAATGAAGATAATAATTATGCCCATAGGATTGTTACAACAATGGAATGAGGTATCCATTTGCTTGGCACGTAGTGAGTACTCAGTAAGTGGTAGCAGTTGTTTTGCTTTTATAGGAAGCTAAGTACTAGCTACATAATCTTAGATAAACTTAACTTCTTTGAGCCAGTTTTATTAACTGTAAATGGCGACAA